TATATATATATGCTATGGCAGAGAATCAAAACAGAGTGTGCATATAAAGATTTATCCAAAATTGCCCTTTAAACATGAAAGGGCATTCTATTAATATTTATATCAGAACAGCAGGCATAAACTGGGACTGGCCCAAGCAAACTGGAACATGTGGTTAGTCACTCTAATCACTTTTATTAGTAACTTATGCTTTAAACATTATGTATTTCTGTAGTATTTAATTTCTATAATGAGAAAAAGGTTTTTTAAACTGTGACTATTTCTTGGTAGTTGAAATATATTTTAAAGGTTTCCCTATCCAGTTGCTAGCAAATTGTTCATTTCTACTTGAGCCTAGATTTGAGGGCCCCAGCCCGGCCCCATCTTGGCTTGCTGGACAGTGACCTTGGAAGAGTGCCCACCCCCTCTGGTCTCACTGCCTCAGCCTTCACACAATGCTGGACTCAGGTCCAGTGACACAGTCAGGCCTGGCACAAAAGAACCCACCAAGTACTTGCTCATCTTTACTAATCAGAAAGACTTTTACATAAAGGCAGGTGATATATGTTAGTACTCCAGAGTTTAGGCCTACAAGCACTAAAATATTGAGGGAACTGAGGCTGAAAGGTTTTACTCAGATGAAAACTAAAAGAATCTATTAGCCTCTGTAAGTATTTTCAGAATTATGTATGGCTCAGGAGTGAACTCAAAACATTTACTGCTTTGATTACTTGTTGTTGTTGATATTACATTAATTCATCCTTGGAGCAGTTTTAGGTTCATCTGTTGATCAAAATTGAGTAAACAGTACAAAAATTTCCCATCTGCAACAGAACGGTACATCAATTGCAATCAATAAATCGACATCAATACCTCATTACTCAAACCATAGTTTATACGAGGGTTCATTCTTTTTTTGTTTGCTTTTTGAACCTGGAATCAAACTCAGACTTTGCATTTGCCAGGTAAACACTGTGTCACTGAGCTATATTCCCAGCCCTCACTCTTTTTTTTTTCCATAATTTTACTGAGAAATAAATAGCAATGAGACAGTTTCAAATCAAATTGGTAGGACAGTTCTAATAATTAACACATTTTATACTGCCTTCCTAGTGGTTATTTGTTGTACAAGATGCAGACATGATATCCTATTTACAAACACTATTAGAACAAATCCCTCCATTCCTTTAATTAAGAGAATATAGCTATATATCTATCCTAACCATTTTGAATACACAGATACAAAATGGTCATTCATCTATATCCCGTTTTTTTGTTTAGTTCCATCATTTAAATATTATAGGTGGGGGCCTGGCTCTAGCTCTGTTCTTTAAGTGGCTGCTTCCACAAAGCTGTCAGCCTCAGCTTATTCTAGTTCGATCCCCACAACCCTCCAGCCAGCCAAAAGTGCCCTGAAGGCATT